TTACTCTTTTCCCTCCAGCAAAGCCCGGGACGCCCGTGGGTGGAGAGCAGGACGTTTCCGCATGGCGGTGGGGCAGCGACGTTGGCCGGTAACGACCATGAAAGTTCTAATAAGGAGTCAGGGCAACTGGCCGGAGGGCGGCCGCCGCTGTCCCGGTGCTCCTGGCTTCCGTCCTCTGTGTGTTTTAAGACTGTTCTGTGTTGGAGAGAGAAGGCTCTGGATGGGCAGGGTGTGACCTCCTGAATCGCTGTTACATAACTGTCTCCTCAGCAGCCCTGCCCAGGCCCAGCTGTGGGCTGGGCGCCTCGAGTGCCCATCGGCCGCTCCCGACAACACTGGGCTCTTGTCTGTGGCCGGGGCAGTTGGCCCTGTGTCGGCAGATGGCCGCTGGGCCCTGCCAGGGGCCCAGCTGTGCCGAGGCGGGACACACAATCACCCCTTGACCGGCTCTGTGGTAGCCGTCCCTTCAGCAGCACTTGGGCCGGGAAGGGGGCAGCCGGACAGCAGGCTGCGGCCGGTCGTGTGGGCGTCTGGGCATCTGGCCGGCGTTGCCCACGTGCCAATGCCGAGAGCCTTTGTGAGGTCCCCGGGGCCAGGCCCCGCCCTCGGCTGGCCTTTGGGTGACTAATGGCAAACACCGAGGGCCGGGCGTGGCTTCCGGAAGGTTCCCCTCTGCCCGTCCCCTCGACACTCAGGGAGCGGCCCACTGGCCCCTCAACCCGCAGTAGTTAATTTGTAGTGAAATTGGCCCAGTCTCGCCCTGCTAGGACCCAGGCCGTCTGCGGGGTTGGGGAGCACAGCGGGGCTGACCTCTGACCTCTGACCCTGGTGGAGGGCACGTCGGTGGAGATGACGCACGTCAACTCTTCCAGGGCTCCCTGGGCCACCTTCCTCCCATGAGGGGACCGTGTGAGCGGGGCAGGGGTCCCCTGAGCTCCAGCCTCCTGCCTCTTCCCTCAGCAGTGGCCTCGGCCCTAAAACAGACGCGCCGTTAAGGACGCCCACGACACGCCGGCCGTGTGCCGGGCACGAGCATTTCCTCACTGAGTTCATGTGCAAACCAACTCAAAACGGCTCGTCGTAAGGTCACTAACGCCCCTCAGTTAACCGGTTCTCTGTTCAGACGACACTGCTTCCCCTGCGTGTGCATGTGAATGAGTATGTGCGTGTGCATGTGAGCACATGTGTGTGCGCTTGAGCACGTGTGAGTGCATTTGAGCACATGTTTGGGCACCAGCGTGCATGTGTCTGTGTGTGTGTGCATGTGGGCACGTGTGTGCATGTGTACGTGCATCTGTGTGTGTGGAGTGTGCGTGTGTGCACATGTGTGGACACGTGAGCGCTGCTTGAATTTCAACGTTGAATAAATTTGTCCTCAGTCTCTCCGCTCACCTGTCATCTTGCCGTGTAAGTGCTGAGAAGCACAGGAGCTAAAAACAAACTTTCTTAAGTGTAGAAAACCCGTAGCTCTTATGCCTTGAAATGGAATAATGCATTTTGTTTAGCAAAGAGGGGTCACTGTTATGACAGGTATTTTTGTAAGTATTATTTTGACAGATACTGTAATGTCCTAGAGGCAGGGAGCCAGGCAGTGGAACATGTGAAGTATTTAAATTGCTTTTCTTAAAATGAACTTCATGTTTTAAATAATAGATGTTTACCTCCCAGGTGAAACCTTAAGTATTCCCATTTTCACTGAAACAGTGTGTTTTTAAAAGGGTAAAGTTATACCCACAATTCGTTGCATTCTACTTACCACCGGATAAGCGCCACAGCGTGCGTCCCGGGGGAATTTTAATTGTCGTTTCCCGCTGTCTGTCCGCAGCCCGGCTGTGCGCTGGGCTGATGAGGCCCCCTGACACCGTGCGACACGCCTTAGCCACACATGGGTTGAAGACTCATTCGTGTATTCTTGCATTAAATTTCACGAAAGGGAGCACTGAATGGCAGAATTTGCCTCTTAATCAATCTCTGATTTTATTTTTACATTTCCCGTTATAGAAATGTGGGTTTGAGTTCAGCCTGGAGTAAGGTCTCGTAGTAAGTTCATTAAATTAGCAGAAGTCAGGAATCTTGCTCCCCAGCAGGGAACGGGGAGGCAGACGGGGCCGGAGGCTGTGGGGCCGCGTCCTCACTGAGCCCTGCTGAGCTGTGTGCTCGTCCCCACCGTGTCGCTGTAAACGTGACATTGCAAGTGTTTATGTTGAGGAGAAGACGTTACTGCACCGAGAACATCTCCCACGGCCCCAGATGGAGCTGGGCGAGGAGGAAGCAAACGTCTGAGCAAAATGCTCGTCTGCGGGACCGGCCCTCAGCTGTGCTGCTTCCAGGACGAGCTGGCGGTCACCCTCAGACGCCCACTCTGCCGCAGGCCCACTCCTCAGCCCGTCCAGGCCTCCTACCCTCAAGGGGGTCACAGGCGCTACCCCTCACGTGGACACGGGAACCCCCAGGAAACCCTTTATCTCACGCCTCCCACCCACAGCCCCGGGAAACAGCCCTTCTCAGCTTTGTGTAGCCTCCAGCGGCTTGCCCCCCAGGGGAGCAGGGCACACTTTTCCCGCTGGGGTGGCCGGTGGTAACTGAGGGGACGCAGGCAGGCGCCTGTTTAAAGTGAGCGCTGGGGGGGGGCTTTTATCTTCTAATGTGTGAGCCATTGGGGCCCCGAGAGTTCATGGAAATCAGGCACTTTTGCCTCCTTGTAATGAGGGACCTGCTGGCATCCGACCCGGCCCCAGGCCACATCTGCACCCGGGACAGCGCGAGGGGCCGGCCGGCGGGAAGACCCGCGTCCTCGGGCCACGTGGAGGTCAGCTGCAGCTGACGGCAGTGTCCCAGAGTCTGCTTCCCGTGTCTGAGGTTCGTTTTTCTCAAATTGGCATAGTAAAATGAAAGTGAAGATCTGTACGTGCTAATTGGAACCGTGCTCAAAAGCCGCCTGTTCGTTCAGTGGCTGCAGAGACCTGGGCCCGGCGCCGGAAGCTTCCTCCTCCACCATCTCCTGCTGGAGAATTCGCTGCTGGAGTCCCATTTCTCTCCAGGACACTCAGCGAACAGATTAGCGGTGGCCTTCCCAGAGGCCTCCTGCTTTGTGTTCCTGAAACCCGCCTGCACGCGGCGCCCCGTCCCCGCCGGCCGTGTGCTGAGTTCCAGTCCAGCCCCCTCCGTCCCCAGCAGCGCTGCTGGGAGTGTCTTAGTGACCTGGCTCCCGCGCCTCCCAGGCGGGCTGAAGTGACTGTCAGGGTGGCCGTCTCACTCGCCAGGCCGTGGACCCAGGGGACGTTCAGTCTCATGACTGTGTCAGTGGACAGACCCGTGAGGTCTACGCTGCAGGGCGGGTTCTTCCCGAGCTTCTGCTCATCTCCCCTCCACCCTGTTCTCTGAGAACCCAGCATGGTGCTGGGGGCCCCCACCCCACCTCAGATCCCCGGGTGGTGATAGGGTAGTGCCTGACCGACCACTCAGCCTGGCCGGGCGGCCCTGGCTGTGCTGTGTGTTTGAAAGCCTCGATAAGCGTTCTCACACGACCACCGCTCAACCTTAAGAGGAAGTTTGGCTCATCTGATGGTCGCGTATCAAAGCTGTTAAAATTAGTCCAGCAAGAAAAGAGCACAAACCTGCGTCGAGGAGGCCAGACAGGCTGCATTTCCTGAGCCTCCGTGGGCTGCTGCCACCGAGCCCTTTGCCAGGACGGCTCTGTGGGACCTCCCTGAGCTCCGAGGGGCCGTCCCACAGCAAGCAGGATTGGGGCCTGTGCGCTTTTGAGGATTAAAGGCGCCTGCTCCTGGTGACACTGGCCTCTTGCAAACAGCATTTCCGTAGTGACCCAGACACGTGTCACAGGTAAAGCCAGACCCGAGACGTGATGCAGAGAAGGGTGCCCAGACGGAGCGGGGGCAGGTCCGTGGGCCCAACTTCCACCTCCTGACTCCACTTGCACTTGTGCGTCTGAGGTGTCGCGTCTGCGGTGCGGGGCAGCAGCGGCGTGTCCTGGAATGCAGGGGCGCGGCCACGGCGCCCGGGGGAGGCAGCTGCCACATCCCGTGTCGCTGGAGCTCTGCGAGTTGATGGCTGACAGACACACAGTGTCTTTTCACTGATGTGGACTCGGCTGCCTGGTGTGCATTCCCGTGTCGTGCGACACTGGGCACAGACGGCCTCAGACCTAACGCCCGGAGTGTCCCCTGGTGGGTCTGGGGCCCGTGCCCGTGGGCACCAGGCAGCACTGAGCTGCCATTGGCCTCTGAAAAGGGCAGCCTGAGCCGGGCAGAAAGGGCCGATTTTGTTCATGTCTGTGGATGAGGGTTGCGCTGAGTCCGGGAAGTCGACCCCGTCCTGTTGGCGCACGTCCGAGCCTCCTGGGGGGAGGGGTTTCGGTAGCCGGCTTCGTCTTAGCGTCGCCCTCGCTTTCTGATGGGGTTGCCCAGCCGCGTGCGGTCGTCACAGCAGCCCCTTGCCCAGGCGGATAGAGTGTCAGAGAGCGTCTCTGCACGCGGTGACACACGTGGAGAGGAGGTGGGGGGGGGCTGAGGAACAGGCAGCCCGGCTGTGCCAGGGGGGACCGTGCTCCCTATCCCAGCCGCTTGTCCTGCAGAGAAGAGCACAGCCACGCATGTTGTCACTGTCATGGCCCCCGATGCTGGTCCCAGTGGAGGGCATGGCAGACGTGTGCGCATGTACGTGCGCGCGCGTGTGTGTGTGTGTGCTCCTGCACACGTGTGCACATGTGCACATGTGTGTATGCATGTGTTGTATGTGTGCAAGTGTAGGCAGCCTGAGTTCAAAGCCAACACCTACCCAAGTGCCCCAGGACACTAGGATAATGAGGCCTTTTGAAGGCTCGTTTGATTGTATTACAGAGAAACAGAGGGGCCGGGAGGGGACTAACACTTCGCACCTGTCACCAGCGCTCCTTTTGAATTAGCCTCTGCTTGTAAAACTTTAATTGCTTCCCAGCGGTCTGTGCGCAGGGCACTCAGGGCCTTTTGTTTTCCCCCCAGCTCCACGGCTACTTGGAGAACGAGCCACTCACGCTGCAGCTGTTCATCGGGACGGCGGACGACCGCCTGCTGAGGCCACACGCCTTCTACCAGGTCCACCGCATCACAGGCAAGACCGTGTCCACCACCAGCCACGAGGCCATTCTCTCCAACACCAAGGTCCTGGAGATCCCGCTGCTGCCGGAAAACAACATGCGAGCCATGTAAGCCGCCGCCGGCCACGTGGCCTCGGGCGCTCGGGGGCGTCGGCGGGGCCTTCTCTGCGGGCGTAGTTGCCCCCACACCCCACAGCTCAGTGGCCCGGCACGCAAATAAACTTTACAAATATTTGTGACAACACATTTTGCCTTTCTAGGGTTTTAGCCACTGTGCATATTGCCACTTAAAGTAAACACTCAGTTGCACAGCTGTCAGCACCTCCCCCGTGCCTGCCTCCTAAACATGACAGCACTTATTTCTGGATACAGTGGTGCAAATTAGAGGGACGGTTACAACGCAGACGTTGAACCGCTACAGGGGACGGTGTCTCTCTCTGCATGGTGTTCCAGGGCGTCTGTGCCAGACGAGGGCCTGTGGGCGGATGGGCTTGGACCCCTGAGCTTGGAGGTGAACTCCTCCTCAGCTGAGCCCTGACCTCCTGGCCGAACGGGGCCTAACCCACCCCTTGACTGACGCCTGCTAACGCGAGACTGTGTGCCGTGCACGTCACTCCTAAGCTGTGGAGGCCGCAGAGAAACGGGGCAAGGTGGTCCCATCGGATGTACATTCTGCCGGGACCCTGGTTGCTGGGGGACAACGTAGGGTGGCGTGTCAGGGAGCTTGGGGACCGCGGTGTCTCCGTGGAGTGTGCCGGAGGGGCCGGCCCTGTGGAGGTGGAGGAGGCCGCACGTGTGGAGGTCCTGGGGCCGCAGGGAGTTTGGGGTGTCCGTGGGGTAGGGAGAGACGGGGGGTGTGGGGTCTTGATACGTTTTGTGACTGTTAAACCCTCTGAGTTAGAAACAGGCCAAACTTTCTCTCCATGTTGGTGTTCCATGGATTTGGGGGAGTTCTTCCTTGGTCCTTGGGTTTGCTTCAGGAGGTGCAACCACAGTTTCCCAAGGCCCGGGACGGTCAGGAGCTGGAAAGAGCGCACCTGCTCTTCCAGCAGCAGCGGCAGCTGCTGTGTCAGTGATGCCGCATTTACTCCAACAAAACACACTCGGTGTGAGAGCGGCCCGGGCGCTCCAGGGCCACGTGCAGCCTTTGGGCAGGTTGTCGGCCGTTGGTCCTCTCGGCTTCCTGGTAGGACAGTGTCGGCCTCCACCCGACGACTTACACGCGGGCTGTTTTGCTGGAGTCTCGTGTGGAATGAAATAAGATAAAATCACACGAAGCTGCAGAAAAGCTGGGCTCTTACGCTGAGTGGTGGGGCTGCTGCCAGAACCTTAGATAAATGGACTTTTCCGGACACCTGGGCGCGGGGAGCAGGGAGCCTCGGTCCTGGGCTGGGCTCCCTCTCCCACACCTGCAGGCCCCCCGTCCGCCCCTCGACCTGCGGGCTCCGGGCGGTGGACGAGGGGCAGCACGGCGCGGGCGGCCCCACACGCGGGGCTGACGTGCGGCCCGTGTTCCCGCAGCATCGACTGCGCCGGGATCCTGAAGTTGCGCAACTCGGACATCGAGCTGCGCAAGGGCGAGACGGACATCGGCAGGAAGAACACGCGCGTGCGGCTGGTGTTCCGCGTGCACGTCCCGCAGCCCGGCGGCCGCACACTGTCCCTGCAGGTGGCCTCGAACCCCATCGAGTGCTGTGAGTACCCCCGGACGCTCGCCGCCTCCCTGTGCGTCGCACGAGCTGTGCTTCCCCGTCAGGGACACGCCTTTGCCACGAGCACGGCCGCCGCGGCTCTCGGTGGCCGGGGAGAACTCCGCTCAGCGGCCTGGGCGCAGGGCCTGGCCCCGAGCCCCAGCACCTGGGTCGAGGGGGGCCGGGGGTTCATGCAAAGGGAAGAAAGTTTGTCCTGAAACGCAGGTCTCCGCATGGACCAGTATCTCCCATTTCAGAACACGTGGGAAGGCGCAGGGGGCATCGCAGCCCACGGGGTGGGACCAGCCCGCTTGGGGGCCGTGTCGCCTCCTTCCCCTGGAGGCCGGCCTGACTCCTCTGTCGGCGGCCACACCGTGGGGTCCACTCCCGCTCGGCTGATTTTCGGTAGCACGTGGGTCACTGGGGAAGCCGTGTGTGGAGCTTTCTCCCGGAGCCCGGGGAGGGTCTCTCGAGGGCGCACGGCCGCCTGGCCGCACGCAGCGGCCTCCTCGGAAGGGCCCCTTGTCCGGTGCGGCCTCCCCAGCGCCCCTCCCGCCCCCTCCCCTTGAACGAGCCCCATCCGCTCCCAGGTGTGGGCGGTTTCAGGAAACACTGTCTCAGCGGAGCTGCTCGGTTTGGTTCCTTTGCTTCTGACCTAAATGGAGGCTGACCTGTGACAGGGACGCCTCGCCGGGCAGACCCAGCCACTTGCCTGAGACGGTGTCTGTCCTGCTTTGCTGTCCCCTCTGCGTCCCCTCCTGCGGGCCCCTCACACTGTCTGGCGGACGCCTGCCCGTGCCCGTGGGGTCTGTGCGGGCTGCTTGCTTTCTGCGCAGAGGCTCCCTCCCTGGGCGCTGTGCGGACCCCTGGCACGTGGCCTGGCCCCAGGTCTGCTTCTGCACAGATGCCGCCCTCTGCCTTTTGGGACAGTGCCAGGCGACGTGTGTGCACGAGGCCCATTTCGGGCAGTGCCGGGCGCACGGGTCACGGGAGGGAGGGCCCTGTGGGGAGCGGTGCGGAGGCTGGGGGCCGGCGGCGTCCCCCTCACGCGCGCTCTCCTGGCCCCACGCAGCCCAGAGGTCTGCCCAGGAGCTGCCCCTCGTGGAGAAGCAGAGCGCAGCCAGCTGCCCGGTCCTCGGCGGGAAGAGGATGGTCCTGTCCGGCCACAACTTCCTGCAAGACTCCAAAGTCATTTTCGTGGAGAAGGCACCAGGTATTTCCCTTGGACACAGACCATCATGGTGTTTTCTGTTTGGGGCGCCGGTGGGGGTTGGCCCCCCGGGGCTCTGCGTGTCGGGCATGGAGCCGGCCGCGACAGCCGTGAGTGCGGCACAGGAGGTTTATTCCTGGAGTCGTCGAGGACCATCCTCGCACACGTCGCTGTCGGTGTGACGGGGCTGCAGTGCGGGGCCCCTCGAGGAGCTGTCCCTCTGGGCCGTGTGGCGGCCCTTCGCCTGGACTGTGCGCGGCCCCTGCAGTGCGGACGGGTCTCCCCGGTTCTCAGAGCCAGACTCACAGAGGCAGGCGTCCAGGCGCCGAGCAGCCACGTAGCCGGTGGGACCCGCACTCAGGCGCAGAGGCCTTTCCGGCCCTGGCATCCCCTGGCGGTGGTGCCCACCCAGGATGCCACCCCAGAGCTGCCGCTCTGTTCGCGACTGGTGGCCTCTAGGGCCCCCGCCATTCTGTGTGAGCGAGTGTAGACCTCCGTGTGGGCCGAGGCTGCTGTGGGGTGAAGGTGAAGAGCCTCTTGCCTCTGGGATTTGGGGAACTGGGTGATGCGCCCTTGGATGCTGCAGGACAGATGCAGGGGTGGCACCGCTTCTGCCAGTCGATGCCCCACCTCAGTGGAGAAGCCAGTGGGTGCGCACGTGACCCTCAAGGGTGGGCCGCCTCCCGGGTGCCCCCTGGCACTCTGTGGTCCGCGGAGCGGCCTGCGCCCTGCCGGGGTGGGGGGGCGGGGGGGCGCCTGCAGGGGGCTGTCGCTGGCCGCTTCTTTGCTTCACATTTTCCGGTCGGAATTTTCTTGAGCGCGCAGGGCAGGACGCGTGCTAATCACTGGAAACCGTGGAGGCATTCAGCCTCCATAATGGGTCTTGATTTTGTACAGTTTGCAGGAAAGTTAAGTGCTTCAATCAGAGTGGGCTTAAAGGTCCTTCCCGTGTAACGTGGCCTGCCTATGTAATCATGCACATAATTGGAAAATATGTCTGAAATTGTGGAGACAGCCCAGCTAAGTGTAACGATAAGGAGAAGAATTTGCATTGCTGGAACGCCCTTCTTCAGAGGACGTTAATTTTGGAATAATTTTGAGCTTTACACTTGTGTGTATGTGTGTGTTGGGGGAGGAGCGTGGGACGCGGCTTTGCTCGCACGCCACTCGTGACTCTGGCCGGAGCTGTTTCACAAAGGCGGGTCCTGCAGCTTAGCGTCCCTCACCGTCCCCTTGACAGTCATCGTCAGGCCACCAGGCGGGACTGCGGGCGTCTCCTGCAGGCTCTCAGCCTTTCACGGGCAGGCTCCCCACAGCCTGCGTTGTCCGCGCGGTCACGCGTCTTCACTTTGTGGCCTCCTGGGTGCGGCGTGGAGGTCGGCCACCCGCCCACAGTGTGGGCTGTCCAACATCGTCCTCACCGGGGCCTCCGGGGACTTCCCGGGCCCACGACGGGGCGAGTGCCAGGCTACCCCTCGTGGTCTCAGAGGAGCCATCCTCACCCCACTGTGTCTTGGAGCAGCTCAGCGTCTGGTGCACAAAAGGCGAGACGCAAACCGCTGACAGACACGTCCTGCACCTGTGACGGTGACACGCCTGACACTGCTGGCAGTTTCACGTTTGTACTTACACTAGGTTGTCTGTGTGAGCACACTGTGCGTGCACGTCGTGTGTTTTCAGGAGGCAGCGCTGTCCACATGCTGCTTCACTGGCGTTGCCCCCTCAGCAGAGGGCACTCGCCCCTCCTGCAAGCTGACGTGCGCTGTGACAAACCGGGTTTCCCCAGCTGGTTGTTTGGAGAAACTACTGAAGTCCATTTAGAGCAAGAACACGATTCGTCTCGAGGCTTCATGTGCGTCCAGGGTCTGCTTTAAAGTTCTGTGTGCGTGCTGCCGGCGGCACCCAGGCCGCGTGCGAGCAGGCAGATGTGGTGCCGGGCCTCGCGGCAGGGCTCGTCCAGCTGCTGTGGGAGAGGCCACCCTCCCCGCCCCGCCGGGAGGCCCGTGGGCTCAGCCTGTGTGGCCCCGCTGCCTGGTGGGGCTGGACGCTGCCGGCGTTGCTCTGAGAAGGCCGCGCTGCTCATGGTGACAACACGGACCCCTGATGCAGGACTGCGGTGATGATCGGCAAATGGGAACAAGGCACCCTCGACGGCCCCACCAGCAGACACCAGCCGGGCCCCCTGGGTCAGTGAGGGGCCACAGGGACCGCAAGACAATTGTCACGAAGGGGGTGGACGGCATGTGACACAGCTGCTGTCCGGAAGTCGTGTGATTGTCTCAGGTCTTTTGCTGAGTTGTACAAAAGGCCCAATGTGGAAACAGCCTTTTCTTCAGGGACTCGGACGACATTTCCGAAGGTGGACGTCCACGTGTGGGGACGGAAAGGGTCAGGTGCAGGGCGCCCAGCACCCTGGGACCAGCTCAGACCCTGCAGATGTCCGCTTGCGGGAAGTAAGATACTGGCCATCCCTCCCTGCCTCCGCCACAGAAGGTCACACTGCTGTCTTTTCAGATCTGTGAACTAAGGTCACGTTTGCGTGAAAATCTGAAGCTGTGCGAGGACACACGCACAGCCAGTGTACCTGAAAACACCACAGACACCGGGGTGGACCACGAGTGCGCCCTTCTTTTGGAGAGGAAGCAGGGGTTTCGCAGGTTTAGCTGCAGAAAAGATCGCCGTCTTGCTGCTCAAACTAGAAACAGCTCCTTTGTGTCAAGTCACCTGTCTATTCTGTTAATTATTGGAAACGACGAATGAATCCCCTTTTGGCTGCTTTGGCTGCATAACGAACTTCATCGAAACTTAAAGGTGTTCAAGCAACAATCACATCGTGTGCTGGCAATTCTGTGTGGGCTGGACTC